CGGCCCTGGGGCAGCTCCCGGCCAGCCCTCCAGCTGCTCTGCCCCCGGCTTCCCTGATTCAGCCGCTGGTCAGTTTTAGCAGCAGCTGAATCTGGGAAGCTGGGGGCAGAGCAGCTCCAATGGTCCGGCTGCCCGGAGCACTTCCAGGTTCCTGATGGTGCCGGACCATCAGGAGTGCCGGACCATCCGAGTTTTACTGTAATATTAATAATAACAACAACACAGATGCAGAGTTAGATTGCTTTACCATTGGCAATCAGCCAAGACATTTTTCATACCACACAAGTTATTTCACCTTTATGTTTCTCTATGATTCTTTTCTACATCATAATTATATTTGGATTTATAAAAAGCACAATGAATGCTTTTTTTTGACATGCAGTTGTTATTTATATATTTATTCAAAAGCCATCTAATAGCATTGAGTGCCAACCTATGCTTTTGGCTTCTGAATGACAATGCACATTCTCGCTAACTACCTTTTATTATTTTCCAGAAAGCTTGCTTTATTTGATGAATGGAATTCCTTAGCAGTTTACGTATCTATGGACAACACGGTGGTCATTGAAGATATCAGTAAGTTACAACATTGGTTCTCACTTTTTAATTAGAGAGTCTGATTTGTCTAAGTACCCTCAGAAAATGAAGTCATAAACAAAATGCATTTTGGGCCGTAGGTAGGATAATAATTAAGAACTACGGTTAGCATGCATCAGTTCTTGGGGTACTCAGTACTATGCATCACCTTATCCCCTTCTCTAGCAAGAGGTATCTTTGCCTGAAGGAGCCTACAGTTTTAAATGGTGTTTGCTTAATTTACTAGAGGAAGCTATGTTTATAATCTCCTACTCATCTGTCTGAGCCCTAATGTATCCTTGTATTCCTCTCCTTGGATTACTCATTGTAATTATACAGCCACAATGTACAGACTGCCCTCCTTAAAAAGCTGATGCCTTCTATACAAAAGCTCTCTGAAAAAGCATCTCAATTTTCCATTGGTTTGAAATATTTATAATCTAGTCCTTAGTGCATTGACAAGTCTTCCCTCCTTGCTCCCACAGAGAAAATGTGTTGGTCCCCTTCTCAGAGCAGCAGTGGTGCCCATGGCAGCACACACTCCCTCAGAAGTGCTCTCCATCGAAACAAGAACACAGCAGGGTTTTGCTCAGGCTGGAAACCTCTCTTGCTTATTATACCTCTACGACTGGGGATAAATCACATCAATCCAATTTATATTGATGCTTTTAAAGTAAGTTGCTGTCTCTGAAATGATTGAAATGCTGCATGTCATTTAAAAACAATTTAGATATCTGTGATACCAAGATACAGGACAACTAAAATTTCATTTTTCCCCTTTGAATCTCTAGGAATGTTTTAAGATGCCACAGTCTTTGGGGGCATTAGGAGGGAAACCAAATAATGCCTACTATTTCATAGGATTTTTAGGTAAGGAAAAATTAATTACAGATAAGTTGATGGGCTAAGGAACTGGATCTGTTCTGAAGAAACATCAGGAAGTTTAAAACTAAAGCCACTAAGAAATGTACTAAAGGAAAGAGGTAAGACGAGCAGGAGAAATGGATAATTAGATAACTCTAGAACATGGGTGGCCAACCCGCAGCTCATGAGCCGCATGCGGCTCTTCAAAGAAAACATTGCAGCTCCCGCGGCTCTGAAAGGGGCAGCATGTTTCTGTCTGGAAGAGACAGAACTGGAGTCATGGCATCCCATGCAGACTTCAAAATGGCTGCCTATAAAAGGGCAATACCTGCTCTGTTCTTAAAAGGGCGGTGGTTGGGACTTTTTTTTTTTTTTTGCTCCACAACTTTTTCCTCTTGGCTCTTTGTGCTGTATCCACCACTATTTTGGCTCTTCATCTTGGCCATCCCTGCTCTAGAATAATGCACCATGATCTTTTATGGGAAAGGTAGAGCGAAGCTGGGTATGGAAATAAGTAACAACATCAGCAAGAGTAATGTGATAGGAAAGTCTAGTTTAATAATATTTGGCCAAACTATTAGACAGATCTCACTAGTATGCAGTCCTGTATTGTTTTCTAATCTTTAGCGCTACGTTTTGTTTTTTTCTTCAAGTGATACAACTCATCGTTTTCCAATTATAGCTCATTTTCTTGATTTCTGCTCACTTTTCTAACTTCATTAAATTTGTCTTTTAATGTTAGCCTTGATAAATGTATGTTATCACTTGCCTTTCCTTTGTCACCTATTGTAATATTCCATGCTAGACAGATCTTTTTTGAAACTTCACCCCATTTTATTTATTATGAATAATTGCTCTATATTTATGACCTATAAGACCCATTTTTTTTATAAAACCTGTGGTATTTTTATTCCATCCTCATAGTTTCCATTTCTCAGCGATCCTAATATGAAACAATGTTGAACACCTAACTGAGTTCTAGATTACATTTGTGGTCATCATGTGTCCTGTGACCCTAGAATGGCAGAATTTATATTTAAAAAATTAAATGTTTTGTTTAGGAAACAAAGGAAAATGAAAGTCAAAGTAAAAAGCTTATAAATCACCCCAAGAAGCTGTATCAGATATGGTACCACAATGCAGTGCCCTTCCTGAAGTTCCTATTTGCAAAATAGACAAAAATCTGATCAGTCTTAATTATGATGATCTAAATTCTATCTTATAAGTCCAGTTGAAGTGATATTACAAACTATTAAAAGTGATAAATATCATTTATCTGCACAGGAAATGAGCTGATCTATTTGGACCCTCACACCACTCAGGTTTTTGTAGATTTGGAGGAAAATGGCATGGTTGATGACAAGAGTTTCCATTGCCAGCAGGCCCCACATCGAATGGAGATCATGAATTTGGATCCCTCTGTAGCATTAGTAAGTGTTAGAAAGAAATGTGGCATGATCTATTATTATAAAACAGCACTTAAGTACTGATAAGAGGAGTTTTGCATTTATTTTAGCAGAATCATGAATGACTCAAAAAGATTCCTCATATGCATAAATTATCCTAATTGGTAATTATACAATAATTTTTCTGAGATTAGATTAGTGTTACCTCCAGTAGAAAAGTGGATATTTGAATGTGATGACTAATTATTTTTAGGAATAGAGAAGCCTCCACATTTTTCAGAGTCATTTAGTGCAGTGGCTGAAGCAGGGAATTGAATCAGATTTCCTGGCTTCTGTGCAAGTTACTTTCTCTCCCTTTTGTCTCAGTTTACCAGTCTAATAGTAGTTACAGTCCAGGATACTTCACAGGAATATTACAGTGCTTAATGATGCTAATTTTTGTCTCATTCCACATACTGTTGACATCAGTAAGATTACTCTTCATTCTCCTCCTCTGTGTAAGATCAGAATTGGCCCAATGTTAGTAAAGTATTTTGAGCTCCTGAATGAAAGATAATATAAACATATATTATTAATAATGTCACTTTTATCAGAGAAATATCTGCTTTTAGGCTACGTCTACACAGTAGCTTTATTTCAGAATAACTTCAGTTATTCCAAAATAACGTATTGCATGTCTACACAGCAAGCCCGTTATTTCAAAATAAATTCAAAACAACAGGCTTCTTACTCCAACTTCTGTAAACTTCATTGTATGAGGAGTAAGGGAAGTCAGAGGAAGAGTGCTCTATTTTGAAATAAGTGCTGTATAGATGCTCCTAATTTCGAAATAAGCTATTTTGACTTAAACTACGCAATTAAGTTCAAGTTGCATAGCTTACTTTGAATTTAACACTGATGTATAGACATACCCTTAGTGAGTAACATTTAACTATGCAAATGTTCAAACCATGAAAAAGCACAATCATCTGGTCCATTCAGTAATATAACCAAGAGAAATATCCACAATACAGCCACTCTCTTGAAAGTGTCCAGTATATGGCAGTTCATCCTCAGTGGCAGCCTTCAACTTGCAGCTGGATGTGTATGGCCCTATTGATTTCAGTAGAGCTGCAATTATTTGCATTCTGGTAGAACCTACTGGCCTCATATTGAGATTTTGCTGTAAGCACTGTTCAAATATATAAGACAGTCATTACCCTAACGAGTTTATAATCTGCATAGATAAGACCAATAAACAGGAGAGGGAAAAAGGGCAAGGCATTTTTTCACTTGTGCCTTCTGCTTTATACCAGTTCAGGATCTGCCCCTTAGTCTGATACATATTTTGTGTCTTATACATGATGATAGTTTGTGCTGCCACAGAAAGTGGCTTAATTCTGCATTATTTGCTAATATTGCATATAACTTACAGAAGAAAAATTATTTTTGTTTTCCCCCCCTTCAGGGCTTCTTTTGTAAAGAAGAAAAAGACTTTGATAACTGGTGTAGTCTTGTACAAAAGGTAATAAAGGAATATTTTAATTTAGTCTGGATCAGGTTAGACACATATTTTACCAACAAATGAAAACTTCTCATAAATACACTGTCAGTGGACAGTGTCTAAATAGGTTATATAGAAAATATATAAAGGAAGAAAAATGTTAAGCAAAGATTATATATATCACTTTGAAAACCATGTCCCCCTACCATTTGGAAAGTGGAAGTAAACTATTTGATGTAATCTATTAAGCTGTTAAAGACACATTTTTAAAAAGCCAATTCTTACTGAATTACCAATAGTTTTAGCTCTGTGTTGGCTAGTTACTTTCCGAGACTTTCTATTGCCATTTAATAGTGATGTATTATTAAATACTCATGCCTTTTAGAAATTTGCTATACTGAGTGACTTCTGCCTGATTCTATAAGGGGCTGGATCCCTTGAAGTCATAGGAGCTAAGTGTGTTGTGCACCCTACAGGTAGTGCTTGGCCCCTTGCAGGACAATGCTAACATTGTGCATGGTCTTAACTTATTGTGGGAAGTAATAGCAAACTGAAGGCAAAGTGACTTCAAGCCCTAGAAAATATTTATTCCTAAAACCAGTTGATGGTTTCCTTAGGAAAGTAGTTTGTAAACCCATTAAAAAACCAGGATAGAAGAAATCCACTAGACTGAGGTACAGTGGAATTTGGTTTCAGTCATCTCAGATCAAAATTTGTCCTTCAAAATCCATTATATTTTGGAATGGCTGTGTTTTCTTCTGCTGTTATCACTCAATAGTCAATTTAGTTGTAAGGATCTAATTAGGAGTAATTTCTTTGATAATTTCAAAGGTAGGAATATATTTTGTGTTCTCAGTGCCACTTTGCTGAACATAATAAAAATTTTTAGCTTGTGTGGCCATCAGAGCTAATTATAACATGACTGACAATTTGTGGTAGAGCTTGAGAGATGTGTCTTCCAGGCATGTTTCTGATGGAAGAAATTTACTATATGTTGATCTATAAAATTATAACTTTTAATGAAGGTTGCACACAAGGTTTAACCGGATTCCATTTCATATGTGTGTGGGTTTTCTTTTCTTTCAGTGCATCTTGTGACTGGTTTAACTGACCAGTCAAGTAGATCTGTTGTTGGATGTTCCATTAATATATTTTTTAAAAAAGTGCTTTATCCTCAGGAAATTCTAAAGCAGCAGAGTCTTCGGATGTTTGAGTTAGTAAAAAATCATCCAGCCCATTGGCCTCCATTCAAACCTCCAGCAAAACCAGAAGTGACAACAACAGGAGCAGGTAGAGTATTTACTTGAGTGGACTACAGGGCAGCAATGTATTCCACTCTTTACGATAGGAGAAATAATCACAGATGGAGCACTTTACCAAGTCTCTTGTATGCCCAATGTGTATGCCTAATCCAGAGGTGGCCAACCCACGGCTTGCGAGCTGCATCTGGCTCTTCAAAGAAAAAATTGCGGCTCCCGCACCCGCGGCTCTGAAAGGAGCAGCGTGTTTCGGTCTGACGCTGATGCAGACTTCAAAATGGACGCCCTTAAAAGGGCAATGTCTGGTCTTAAAAGGGCTGCAGCTGCCCCCCCCCCCCTTTTTTTGCTCGACCAAACGCGGCTCTTCATCTGTAACGGATTTGGCCACCCCTGAGCTAATCAATTCTTTAATATTGATAGCAGACTTGTCTACAAAAGGGTAAATATGATTTCCAGCATACAAAATATCTTGCTCTAAAAAGTGTTCAAAAGTGAAAAGCAATAGGTATGCCTATTCAGAATTTAATACTGTTTTCATTTTTGTTGGCAGAACTTATTGAATCTACTGATACACTCTTTGAGGTAGAAGAAGAATTTGAAATCTTGAGTGTATGAAGGAAGCTATGGTGATTCTTCTGCGTTGAGCACATTGCATTGACTTTACACAAATGGCCATTCTAGCCCACAAGTGCCTGAAATTATTGACAGAGTGCAAAACCATAGCAGCGCCCAAAACTCAAGACAGTGACAGTTTTAACAAGATATTCCCTGGGTGGAAAGAGAAGAAAAGATCTCATTGTCAGACACTTAAAGGGAATTTCTGCTTCCAGCATGCATCTTATTTGAAGACAAATGGACCTTTTGAGATAAAGGCAAAAACAATATATTAAAGACTGTGTTATATCACTGGGCTCTACCTTTGAAGACGGGAATAGCTCAATGGATATTCTTGCTCCCATATGCAATTGTGTAGCTCTTAAAGAAAGCAAAATGGCATTGAGTTAAGGGAGGATATTTATTTCTATTCCCTTCTGTGGACTGTGTCATAGGAATAAAATTCATCATCTTGTTTAAAAGATCAACTGGATCAGGAGAACATTGTTTCCTTGTTAAATATTTTAACATGTATCCGAGCAATCACACTTTTTATTAAAAAAATGTTTCTGTAAAAGGAACTATGTCTAATGTATAAACTTGCAATAGCCTTCCTGTTTCTGGGAGACCTAAAATAAACAGGAGATTCAATAGTTGATATAGATCAGAATCACTGCTATAGTTGACATATTTCACGTTGACCTTAAAACTTACGTTGATGATTTTTGTTTCAAATATAAAACAAGATGTCACAAGTGGTTTGTTTTAACTTTATCTTATTTATTTTAAAAAATATTTACACAAGTTTCTCTGTAACAGCACTTTATCGGTGCATCGAATAAATTTCTTAAGCTTTTCATAGGCTACTTACTATAGTTTGTGAATTTGTTTGCATAGACTGTAATATAAAACAAGGTTATCCCAAACTGATGACACACACACACACACACACACACACACACACTTATTTAATGTCCCTAGTTCTGCCTTTGTTACCTTTGTCTATTTTGATAAAAATACCTTAGATCTACAAATCCCTAGTAGAATTATGTGATTTATTTAACCTGAGGATATTTGTGGTAGCTGAGAACAAAGGTTCAGCAATATTAAGCACTACAGATGTTAAATTTAGATTCATCAGTTAATAGAATAGTCAATGCAATTTCCATTGACTACTTAGATTAGTCGATAAAGGAGGAGGTGGGGCACTCACTACCCTGGCTGCGCCTCAGCCTTTAAAATGTAGTAAGAGCCGCCCGCGTTTCTTACTACATTTAAAAGGCAGGAGAGCAGTGGAGGACATGGGGCAAACCATGGGGGCTCTTGCTACATTTCAAAACCAGAAGCGCAACAGTCAGAACTTGGTACGAGTGGGGGCTGCTTGAGTCCCTGCTCATGGTGTTCCCCGCTGTGCCTCGGCCTCCCCTGCAGAAACAGTGCTGGGGGGAACTGGCTTTTAAGCCATCTACCCCCCACACCGGCTACAACCCCCCTCCCTTGCTGCCTCTCTCTAGTAGAGGCAGCAAGGGAGGAGGGGAAAGCGACTAGACAAGTCACTACTCGACTATTCGATAAGCTCACACTTATTCAACTAGTCGCTTCCATCCCTATTAAGCACAAGGGTTTTAATTTATTAACGAGTCACATTTTATGTTTCCTAAAATACAATCCCCATGTGCATGAAGCCTGCTGTTGTAGTGCAGTGAAAATGAAAATCTCCTAATTTCATTTTTCACAAATAGATGAGAATACTGAGCCTCATCAAGAAATGCGTTGAGTACTTGCAAAACCCAGATGAAGTGAGATACTGATGCTCAGCATTTTAGGATTGTGAAAACATGACTTTCAAACATAAATAATTACCCAAAACAACATTTGATGTCTTGTTTACCTTTATTAACCACAGTTTGGAAACTGAATATAAACAAAAAGAGATGACACCCCATGCTGTTTCTCTCTCTCTCTCTTTTTTTTTTTTAAACTTCCCAACTAGTATTTAAGATCATAGCTGTGTTTGGTGCCTTCCAAACAAAAATGAAAATGCAGTCTGTGCTCTGAAGAGCTTACATTCTAAAGGAGGATCTGTTAGGAGACTGAGCAATGAAGCTAGAGATATGTCATGCCCAGTTCACTCTTAATTGCCCTCCTATTATCTTTCATTAGTACATAAACACAACTCAGGTGAAATCTGAAGTTTATAGGCTTCACGGAAAAGTGTCTTGGGCAGTAACTGGAAAGAGAGGGAGTAAATACCATGCAACTTACCAGAGCAGTCCCAATTAAAATACAGATCAGTTATCTGACATGGACACAGCATGAATTTTTAGAGTGAAAAAATCTTTGAGATGGTTGTTGAATAATTCAAAATGGCAACTGATATTTTGGAAGCAGAAAAAGGCTACCAAAAATAAAGAGTTGATTGCAAGATATTAACTGTAACAGGACTCGACAACATAAGGGTCCCCTGATCATGACCACTCTTAAGCTTTCAAATCAATGAATCTATCTTGTGTGCTCAAATATACCCTGCTGGACTGAGCCAATCAGAAAGAAAAGTGATTAACTGAGAATAAGGTTTTTGTCCTGGATCAGTAGCAACTTCCTATAGAGTTTTGTCTTTCAAGTAAAGTTTTGTTAAATTTACAATTACTTCAGATTCTCTAAAATGCAGATATACACAGGCATTTTCAACCTCACAGTAGAAAGAAGCTGAAATTAATACCTTTAGACTTAATTAACTAATTCACAACACAGATGTATTTATGGCTTTCCCTTAGAATATATGAGAAAAGAGAAGTTGAGTATCACTGATTGTAATCATAGTGTGAAGGAATTATGTGAATATTTAACAGTGCATTAGAAATACAGTAATTTATTTTTAACTAGTTGAAGAATACAATACAGGTGATTTTTTTAGCAGTAAAAAATGTACATCTATCAACTGCTTACTTTTGTGTTTCCATAAACTTGAATGCTAAATAATAAGGCTTCTACAGTTTAAAATATACACAATTTTTTACTTTACAAAAAAACCCCATCCCAAGGCTACCTCGGAAAGATGGTTTCATATGTACATATTAATGAAATTATTCCGGAGTTCAGAAATGGCTACAGTACACTCCTTTCACTGCGTGCTTACACAGAGCACATTTCCATAGTGATAAAGCAATGCTGCAGAATGAAAATGGCTTTAAGTTCAAGTAGAGACCCACATTTTTTTCACTGGGGTAACTCAAAATCAGTTACAGCTGATCTGAATTGGGCTCCAACTTGCTTGTGCATCACTGAAGCCAAAAATAATGCCAATTTCTTAAACCCCCTCCCCCCCAAATGAGCTCATCTTTAAGAGAACTTCTCAGTGAAGCCATTTTTCAGTCTAACGCTTAATAGTTTGAGCACCTCTGATGCAGGGATTTGTTTTAATTAGTTTAGAGTTAAATTCCTTTTCTACTGAAAATCCACTTCGTTACGTATTTTCTCATCTAATCCAGGCTTATTCTCCTAAGCCATGCCAAATGCGTTCTGCAAAGACAACTAATCAGTGAAGCACAAACTTATTTAAGCAAATCTAGCATTGGCTACAGATGAGTGTGTAAAAGGGGTGGGTGATACAATATGGAACGCTCATCACTCTGCAATCTGAATGAGAAAGGCACAGAGACTTTCTGAGGTAGCCAGGAATAGGAAGACACGAAAGCAAAACGTAGCACCATGTTCCACAAAATGCAGAGGCTTAGAACTGTAGTCTCCCCCTCCTTCCTTCTGTGTCAAGTCCCATTTCTCATGGATCTACTACTAATTTAGTAGTGTTCTGGCTGTTGTAACTTATATACACATAAGGCTATCTTGCTGGTGGTTTGTGGATATTTCTTCTTCCATTGAATGTGGTTTAAATTTTTACTTAGGAAAGTTTTATTTGTTTGAGTTGTTTTGCTACAAGTTCTTCATGCACACTTGGCAACGGCTGACTCGTGTTCGGAGCTGTCCTGCTTTCAGAGTTTCTGAGGAAGGAGCACTGACAAACTGCTGCGTGCGTTCGACTGTCGTCAGCCAGAAGCTGTATTTGTTTGCAAAGTAATGGCAGGTTCCTCTGGCACCATTGCATTCAATGAAAGGAGTAGCCCGGAAATCCTCGAGGCAAGAGCCGGGCGAGACAAGGGACTGACCTCCGCCTTCTGCACCAGCTGCAGTGTGCTAGAATGAACATGGTGATTTAATATGAGTTTCAAAAGAAGGAAACAGGCAGTTACACAAGGACTCCCAAGGATATATCTGTTGCAGTGAACAAAACAGGAAAATCTAAACTGCTCATCCATGAGACCTCCAGGGGAAGCACAAGAACACAAGCACTTGGTTAAATACAGGATTCTAGTAACATAAAAAAGCAGCTTTTCATTTATAAAGTAAGCAAATCTGAAAGCAGAGACTATAAAACATCTCACCCGTCTGTTTTTAGAATCAAACTTTAATGAGCTACTAGGAAATCTCATTGTAGAACAATAGGGGAAAACCTATGCAGCAGGGAGAAAGGATTAAGTCGGTGCTATAGTTTAATTGCAGCATTGTAGCCATGTTGGCCTCAGGAGATTAGAGAGATAAGGTAGGCGAGGTCATCTCTTTTATTGGCTCAACTTCTAGTGGTGAAAAAGACATGCCTTTGAGCTCATAGGCGTGGGAAAAGCAGAAGAAGAGCTTGGCATAAGCTCAAAAGCTTATCAAGCCAACAGAAGTTGGTCCAATAAAAGAAATGACTTCACCCATCTCACCACTCTAGACTTAATTAGCTGTTTCAGTGTTTAAAGGAATCAATTGCTAAGGGCCTTTAGTCAATTTGGTAGCATGGAAGTGTCTGTTTCTTCCACTCTACCATAAATGTTACCGATACACGTGAGAAGTTAGCAAAATGGCAAAAGAACTGCCAAGTTATACGAGACCTGCTGGTACTACACAAGGAACTTCTTAGGTCAGTTCACTGTGCAGCTTTCAGTTCCTTGGATGCAACTATTAAAACTAGCAAACTTAGTGGCAGCATCAATGATGAACTGCTAATATTAAAACTGTCTTTGCATTAACAAGTGGGTTTTCTTACCATTAAGAAAGAGTATCCAATCCACAGGCTGCGCCAGCCCTCCGGACACTGGGGGATGGTGATGTCCTGACTATGTACTGCAATAGCCTGGGAAGGGGCTTCACACACTGAGCAGCGACTGATATACTGAGGGATCTCCAGACTGCTCACTGGCATCATGGGGATGGGAGCAGTGGTGGAGAGCCAGTAGGATTTGTCATTTCGGCTGGCATAGTAGCACACCTCATAGATGTTGCAGTAAATAAATGGCATGGTGCTGAAGCGAGGCAAGCAGGAGCCAGCAAAACCTAGGGGGGGAATGGAGAGAACAAAGGGCACATCCAGTTGCTGCCAAAAGGGAAGAGCTAGTCGAGACCATGCACTGATGATAAGCAAGTGCCAAGTGTCACTGCACCCTCAGTTGTATTTCACCCTCAGACACACATCTCTTACAAACCAGTGGGGGCTGGGTTTGGTATACAGGGGAGTGGAATTTGGCCTGAGACTTTTTGACTTACCGAGATCCTGGTTGTGCGCCTTTTCCTGCCCTTCCACATACAGCAAGCTGTAACCCTCCCAGAGCTTATTCATTCCAATTGGGCATGGCGGGATCTGCTCAGACTGGCTGTGTTTCACCAAAGTGTATCCAACGCCTACACTCCGACCCGGCATTCCAGGCAAACCGAACGGGCCCGGCTTTCCAGAGGCACCTGGGAGAGAAAAGTCAGTCATGTGCTTAAGTTAGCTGACTTTCCACATTCATCCTTGGACTTAGGCATCCATTTCACTTCTGTCCCAACTGCAAACAACGTAAAGCCCAAATACTGATGGGCGCCGTGTGATCCAATAGGTCTGGTGGATTCTTAAAGCCAATCAGTCCACCACAGTATTGAGTCACTTTTCTGTACCATTTATTACAGAATTCTGTAATACCATTATCTCTGTCTCATCCAATAACCATGGGATGCAGGCACTAGCAACTGTGGTTCATAATACAATACTTCTGCCTTGCCCTGAGTAAGGTCCTCCAGGCACATGCTAATTCCTACACTAGTGCTGTGGGTGGTGGAGCTTCACCCTGATGACATGGAGGCTTAGTAGCATTTCCCAGGTTATAGGGCAAGTCTGTGATAGAGCCAGGAACAAACCCCAGACACTCTGAGGCCAGGTCTACACTAGACCTGGAAGGTTGGCTTAAGGTATGCAACTCCAGCTATGTAAAATTAGTGTCCGGAATTGGCTTGCCTTCAGCCGAGCTTGGCACCGTCTCCACAGCGGGAGGCTGACAGGAGCAAATGCTCCTATCAGCTTTCCTCACTCCCCGCAAATGCAAAGAGTACAAGCGCCCACTAGAGCTGCCCTCAGCAGTTGATTTACGGGTCTTAACTAGACCCACTACATCGAATGCCAGAAGGTGAATCTCCAGCTCAGCGAGTGAAGACGTGCCCTGATTCTGTCAAGTACAAGGATGTGCCTCTCATTCACCATCCCACTCCAAGCACATCTCATCTCTCTGAGTCGCTCCTTTTCAAACTATACAGGCAGTCCCCGGGTTACGTACAAGATAGGGACTGTAGGTTTGTTCTTAAGTTGAATCTGTATGTAAGTCGGAACTGGCGTCCAGATTCAGCCGCTGCTGAAACTGATCAGTCTGGACACCAGTTCCGACTTACATACAGATTCAACTTAAGAACCCCAGGTGTCCCCAAGTCAGCTGCTGCTGAAACTGATCAGCAGCTGATTCCAGGAAGCCCGGGGCAGAGCAACT